GATCGAGCTTAAATCATCAACACATGCATGACTATCGTTGCTATCTCAGTGATGCCAAAATATATACTATTCTGATATCTACAGTCATTTAAAAATAAAAATGCGTGAAAAAAACCAAATTTTAAGTTTAAAGTGCCACCGTTTGATGAATATTCAATATATTTCTTTCTTTTTGGTACGTTCAGTAGTTGTATTAATACTGTTTGAGAATCAATCGGATTTTTTTGTTCAAAATAAGCAGAAAAGATCAAATCATGGAAACCAGTAACCTACTTTTTCTTCATACCCGACTTTAACGTGCTCTGTGGCAGCCATTATTACGTTTATTTTTTCAACAGAAAAATTTATAATGATTTTTTTAAAGATACGTAAATATTATGGTAGAAATCTTATGCTATTCATTTTTACCGCATTTTCATCAATAATTCGTAAAAAGTGTAAAAAACACTCTTCACACTAGAATCCACTCTTAAAAAAGAAAATAAATTACTTTCTGCAGTATACAAACTGGGGCGTTAATGGTTTCCATAATTATCAATTTTAGTTTGATCATGTAGAATAGAATTCTTAGTTTTAATATTATGTAGGTATTTAGTTTTATCATTCGTAAAGAATAATCGTTTTTCTCATAACCGCTTAGTTATACATAATATGTGTAAACTCATTTTTATAATAAATAAGATTTATTTTTAAATAAGATTCCTACTGCTAATTGTTGAAACAAAAATAAATTTTTAATTGAACTTTGCTTATTAGAAATCAGGTGATTTGCAAGTGCATTCATAAAAATGCAATGGCTAATAATTTAAATAAATATTTGAATAGAATTTTGTTTAATACTTTAAAATAGTTGTGATAGGTATAAAGAAATACTTAATAGAATAGATTATATAGTTCTATAATTTATATATTTCTATTTATATTTATTACAAAATAATTATGTCTGTCCATACATATAAAGTCCTTTATAATCTAAACATAATAGTGTCATTAAAACATTCTATTATAAAATTAATTATGTATTTATTACTGAACGTATATGAATGTGTGAAAATTGTATCATTTATTAATTAACTTTTTTTGTTTGTTTTGCGCTCAAATCACGCCAGTGACAAGTAGTACTTACGTACGATCGGCCACATGAGTACTCTTCTCCTACCGCAATAAGCACATACAATAAAGATAAGGACGGATGATACGCATCAAACTTTTAAATTAATAACGTAGAAATAAATCTTTATATATCACGGAAATTCATGATTGTTATACAACAGAGGAAAATTGAATAATATAATGACATAATAAAACTTAATTAGATTAAATTTAACTTTTCTGAAATTAATATTTGCAAAATACCACTTTATTTCAGATTTATCAGTTATTGCTGTAATTGTTTCTTGCTCACTTAGCATAAATGTTCGATTTTCTTCAACTTATTTTTGCGTGTATTATAGGATAATTTAATATTGTTGTACCCTTCGCGCTAACGTATACTATATTTGCAGTGAAACGATTTTAAGTCAATGATTATGCTTAATCAACTTTTTAACCCTTAAATAGATGACTGAAAATTCTTAAAGTAGTACTTGTAATAAATAATCGTTTGTTGGCATAAGAAATGAGAAACTTTTGTCTCAATGATCGGGATAATCTCTTATTGCTAGCATGTTTAACAATTTACGGTTTCACCAAATTTATAGTTATTTGTTGTAAATATTTTCATTTAATCAGTTTAGTCTCGCGATTATTCACAAAGAGTATAACTAGTGAATTTAACTCTGCAGTACCCAGTAATTGATGGTACGTGACTGGGTGTTAAAGTGTTAAGGAAAAGAAAAGGATGTGCAGATGTATCAACAGGGTGAAATTTGAAAATAGAAATGTGGACATTCCAGGTATGGAAACCCGAACGTTCCGCAACGACACAACTACGAAAGGTTTTCTGCGAGAATTAATTTATGAGAAAGTAATTTAACCCCTAGAGTGTCAACGTTGCTGTGAGCGACGCTGAAAATTTCTGAAAATAACACGGTCGCCAAAAGATAAAAATGTTTACTATACGTTGTAAACGTTTTAACACATTGATATAAATAGTAAACTTTGTATTAATATCTTTCGTAAGCTAAGCATTTCTTGGTAAAATCGCATGGCAATTTTCGAAAGAATTTTAGCAATTACAAGTGACACTCAAAAGGTTAACCAGTTAACTGTGGAAATTACTTTGAAAAATCTCTCATTGTGCGCGCAATGAAATCTAATAATAAAGTGTATATTCGTCAAACGCCGAGAAAATACAACTATAATATACTCTAACAAAAAACCAAAGCACAACGAAGTAGAAATACACATATACCTGAAAAAATAAATAATTTATCGTTGAAAAAATTAGTACCATTTTGCATTTTAAAATAACCTGTATACTCATTGAACGCAGTTAACTGGTTAATGTTATTTACGAAGGTACTGAGATGGTCAGGTGCGTGCAAAACGTGTCAAGGCGTATTGTACTTAAAAAAAACACCGTACCCGACTACTTAAAGGTTAATATTTTTTATTATGTTCTCGTATTTGTGAATAACTTCCATAAATAATTTTATTAAATAATCGTTATCCATTTTGAATGGAAGTAATTTCAAGTTAAGCACAAGGAGAACGATATGATCAAAATTAACCCCTTCGTTACAATACACGAGATATCTCGGTTCTACGATGTCGAAGAAATAATGCTATGGATAAGATATCTTGTCACCATAATGTCGTGCGTATGATGCTATCATTATGACAAGATAGCTCGTCCATAGCATCGTTTTTCCGACACCTTGGAAGCGAGATATTTCGTCCATTGTAGTGAAAGGGTTAATCGGGTCTTTTTAACCTTTTAATTATTCAACTAAAGAAAGACTAACATATGGTCTTTTTCTCTTTTAGTACTTAAGACATCGATGCATAATTCAGTTAACAGAAAGTTGTCGACCGTTAAGGGTTAACACTTCACGCTCCTTTATCTAATACTTTGTGTTTCCCCTTTCAATCTCAGGTTAATCACTGTTTACAAACATCTTAGGACACGTTCCACTAAACTTTCACTTTTATCTTCCATTATATCTATAAACAACGTCTTCTTACAAATCGGGATTTTTTTAAATGTTTGCTTTTAACATTAGTTTAACGAACAACATTAACGGTCCTATTCAATAATACTCAATTGCTAACTACAGCCCAAACAGACACAATCAAATTATGGTGGACTCTCTAAACAATTTCATAATATGTAGATTATGCTCTGTTTGATTCTTTTCTCTTCGTCTCTTTTTATACCTTTTTCACTTGAAATAACCTTCCTCCAAATTAAAATAGTCACGCAAATGTAATGTTTTGATGAAACCTAAACGTTCTCGTTTATTTAAATTGATTATAAATGGTTATACCTATATCAGGCCATGCAAAGTTGTACAGTGAATTCTGCAGGACATCGTTTTTTCTTACAACTATTTAATGCTACAACTACTGGACGGGTCAAATTGACCCACTTCAAAATTTTGATTTTGCAAGTATTTAAATCATGAAAGCATATTTGCGAAAGATTTAAAATTAAATCTGTGCATTCGTACAGATACTAGGAGACTCCTTTGAATCTTAAGAAACGAATCGTTACAATTTTCATAAAAAATTAGAATTATAAGTCACTACAATTGCTCGGTAGTTTTAGTGTTAACTCTTTTAATTCTAACGGACCGATCTATCCTGAGTGTTTACGCGAAAACTTACGAGGTGGTGGGTCTGGTCTGTCTGCGTTCCAAGTGTTGACCCGTCGCATTCTTCGCGTATTCTGCGTAGATGGGCTCGGCGTTGAAAGGGTTAAATTGAGTCTTTCAATTATCTCCCGACGTGTAATATGTAGATTTATTTGGCATTCTCATGCAATCTATTTATCACGTCTTCTTGCAATGTACCGTGTGCGACTATGACTTTACAATTTCATTACAGAATTAAATTGTATGCATGGATGGTGTACCAAACTTACTATACCAGCCATTTTACTTCGAACTCTCCCATCATGCACGCCACTTATGTTTCCAGAAAGGAAAATATAGCTTATAAAATGCTACGAAACGTGTGCAAAGCGTTCATACATTCTACCTTTTGTGTGCCAATGGAAATTTTCATACGTTTACGAAAAGAATCAATTTTATTTGATATCAAGTTAAAGCTGGTTAAATTTGTACGGAATGTCAATTACATATCGATCGTTCTTTATTACTAACAAAATCAAAACGGGCAAGAAAAGGTATGGGACCCGGAAATTTAAAAGATTATGAAGCTTTGTGTGTTAGTAGGGTAAGTCAAGCCTAATACATTGCAATTTTCTTTCATGTCGAATTTCACTTTGAAGGGGTGGATCTACCCCTTGAAAAATATGCAAATCTTTCTTTCCCGTGGATTATCTTGAAAACAGTAAGAGATAGCGAAAAAAAGTTTAAACGAAAAATTACATTGTTATTTCACGTCTACAAAACTGTAAAATAAAATTTTCAAATCAACCATTTCCAAAATAAAAATGTTGAAAAATTTTATTTTGCAATTTTATAAACGTAAAAAAACAATGTATTTTTTGTTGAAACTTTTTACCCCTATCTCTTACTGTTTTCAAGATAATTCATGGCAAAGAAAAATTTGCATTTTCTTTAAAGGGTAGTTTCACCCCTTCAAAGTGAAATGCGGTACGAAACAAAAACTGCAATATATTAGGTTCGACTAACTCTACTTATGCACAAAATTTCACAATTTTTTGAATTTCCGGATCCTATATCTTTCTTTGTGAGTTCAAAAGATTGTACAACAACGAAATTTAATATAGAAAAGAATGTTCGTAAATGCATGATACATCGCTTTCGGCACTTTTCGCAAACGTATGGAGTGACGATAAGATCGCTCTTTGGCACTCGAAGAACTAACGCCTTGATACATGACGGATAATTACACGAAAAACTAATTTTCAGGTTCGTCGATGGAGAGTGTGGCTCTAGTAGCGGCGACAGCACAGGTCAGCTAGAATTAAGCGGCGGTGAGCAACCGGAAGAAGCATCCCCGGCATCGATGCACGAGACCAATAACAATAGCCTGCTGCACGAAGACTTGGAGCGCAGGATACCGTAGCTCGCGTAATTATTCGTAAAGCCTGGCCGAGCCTCGTTGGTAAAACTCGTGCTTGTGTACATGTGATACGGCGGATCCGTGAAAAATCGGTTGTTCCGAACAACGTTTTGCAAAGAACAAATAAGCAAATCTCTAAGAAGAAAGAAAAGAGGGAAGGAAGGAAGAGCAGTCAGAGTTCAAGAGTTTATCGAACCATGTGAAAGAAGAAGGGGACCAACGAAGTATCGTCAGGACTGCTGACGCGAAACTGTTGAAAAACTGTTCGAGACTTATCGAAGAAGATGCAATTCGGCTTCTACGAAATGATCCGTCCAAGGTCAACCTCTGGAGATCTTTTGAAGGCCAATGAGATGCAAGTTTGGTACAGAATAAAAAACAAAGGACAGACTTTATGGCCAGTTAAGCTGGAGAGTTCTTTCCTTTCTTTTTTTTTCTGTTTTATTTTACCACTTTTCGGGTGACACGGACTGTTGGTCCTTGAGACATCTCGATTTTTTAGTCAAAAACTATGTCAGCATTAAACGGTTTTTATTGCGCTCGCGTGGACCATTAATTGCCGTGAATTTACATTTCCTTTACATAATTGAAGCGAATACGTCCGTCACTTGTCAATGGTAAACGAACTAATTAGAATAACGCAATAATTTCATCGTTTCTTTCTTTTTCTTTTTTTTCTGATGCTTTACATTAATTGTTTCTAAATTCGAATGTTTCAATTGGTTCGATTTCGAAAGATCTCAAGGTCGGCACCGATAGATCGGATCGCATCGACAACGATAACGATCAGTGTGACGCAGAAGTGTGAAAAACTGTGATAAAATTTCGTATTAGAACCTTCGTTGCACATCGCCCTGCGCGTGACGTCGTGCAAAATACTTTTTTTTGTATTTCCTGTTGTTATGATTGTCTATGGTGAATAAATCGGAAATACCGGTGGGTATATGGAAACGTTCGTCGCAAAGAGCGTCCGTAGAGAAATGTCGGGCAGTCGAATCGAAAATTTAAACGAATCGACGAACGCTGTTCGATGAAAAGGCAAGAAAAATCGAGGTGAATATGGTCGCCGTTAAAAAAAAACCGGTTCGCTCGGTGAGATTCGAACATTAAGCGGATCACAATCCCGGAAACTTGTCTATCGATTCGCTGGCACAATTGTTGAGCACTGTGTGTAACTGAAAAAATAACTAATATATTTTAACGAGGAGTACATTATTTTTTAATGCCGTTCAGACTGTATTTAATTGAGATTAGAAATTGTATGAAAGTGTTTGTCGAAAAATCATACGAAACATCCAAGAAGAACAGTATAAATTACACCACGTGTTAACGATAAATGATTAGAAGTATGATATTAAATAAAGTGTTCGTTTAACGTTTCAATCGAATCAAAAGGATCGGTCGTAAGTATATCTCGGAAAATGGATTTTGAAGGATAACGCGCATCTTAGGCATGTACATGTATCTATACAATAATATAAATATACATGTGTGTATTTTTACAGACGTATATTATTGTATAGATACAAAATACGTATATACACGTGTATTAACACATTAATGATTATTAGAGTAGCTATTAATCATGAATGTGATAATATTACCTCTGCTGTATCATCTCAAGAATGGGGACCAGAGACATCGATTTAAGTTACCAGATCCTGCACATTACATTCAGATCGCGCGCGTGTGCGCGCACACGCATAGAACGTCTAGCTTCGACGGATCGACGGATCCGCGAAGTTTGCGCCCATCTTTTCGACAAAAACAAAAGGGACAATGCATTTAACAGAAAGGTTGACGCTCAGAGCTAGACGTGTACGAGTTTTATTTCGTTGTACTAGTGAATTTTTATATTTTTTATCGATCGTTTACCTTATAAACGCTTTCCTTTTCTTTTTCGTTCTTAATTCGCTTCCTTTCAAATGTTTACTGCATATCTTTCTCCCCCGTTCTCTCTCTGTCGCCACCCTCGGCTCACTTTTATCTTTTTCATTTTATCATTATTGCACTTTACCAGAAGCTCGCGAAATTATACTCAGTTCTCCGAAATTTGGGTATGAAAATCGATTTTTCTCGCAACAGTTTCATATTGATACATCACGCGATTCATGTACTGTTTGTTGTACATATCACTCAAAAGTTTTGATTGACATATTCAAAACGAAATTCAGGAAATTATATAGAAAACACATTTAGGCAAAATATTTATATTTTTCATTGATTACAAATATGCCGTATGAATCATTTATGTTTTATTAATATTTCTTCCTGTAACTTTGAAATTTCTATTTTTTTTTGTTACAAAAAGTCACTTTTTATTCAAAATATATGATATAACTTAATATACAGCTATAGTCGATACGCATTATAACAGAGGGCTGTAATTTCGTAATTTTTACCAATTTTTTAACAAAATTTGTTGGAAAAGAATGTGTTTTAAAAACATATTCTTAGGAAACCATACTTCTTTTATTCTTAAAAGCTTGTTTTACAAGAATTACAAATTCACTTTCTTCTTTCAGTACCTGTAAAATTGTATAGCAATGAAACATTAATACAAGCAGAAAATATAAACACTGTGTAAATACTAAGGAAATCGATACGGCCTTCTAATGATACCGATACATTTCAAAATTATTATAGATGTGTTACAAGAAGTTTTATTGGAATTCATTCGTAACAAAGGAACTGTACAAAGTAGACACTTTAAATATATAATAACATGCAAAAAAAATTCATTACGTTGAATAATGTATTTCTGAATTTATTCAGCGTTACGTGTTTACCCTTGCATATATTAGCATGTACTTAATTTCGAGGGTCACATTAAATAATTTAATTTTTCTAAATTGAATTATGATTTCAATTATATTTAGTAAAGTGAAGGTTTTTAAACAATGAAAAATGCATTATAAGTTGATTTTTCTCAATAACGTGAATAAACATAAAAAATCTGCAAAGCTTAATAGAGTCATAGATACCTTAATATTTATTGAAATAGTCCGATTGCAAAGATTTTGCTATTAATTGAATGATTTTGCTCAATCAACATCGTGTTAAGTCAGACATTCATTACGCACGCAATATCAGACAATTGTTTTATATTGTGAAAAATATAATACACTACTTAGTTATTGTAATAAAATGAATTAACTGTGACAATAACTACATTTTTTTAGTAATCAACAGAATTATATCTAAAGGAAGTATGTATTTGGACGTTATTTATTTAATTTGAAAATAAAAAAGAAGTACAATGTTCAATATTTTTTATACAACAATATTTTAAATTGGTAACTGCTAAGAATTCTATTTTTTTTATTAATTTATTACTAAAATAATTTGTTACTACGTTTTAATTTCTAGTCTTTCAAGTAATTAGATAATTCTGAAACATGATTCTAACAAATCTTGTTCCAACGAATTCAAATCTGTTTGAAATGATCACACCATTATAAAAATATCTTGTCGTATTTATCTTTTTACAGTAGAAGAAGCTTATTTCATTGCTATATGTTAAGTTTCAAATACGTAAAGCTTATTTTTATCGCTGATTGTAATTTTGTTCGATCAGTTGTGATCTTAAACTTTGACCACTTATCACTTTAAAATGAATTAGAAAACAAATATTATGCCATGGTTTTATTAAACTCGTATTTCAAAGCATAATTTATATTTGTAAAAGAAATATCCAAATATTGCCGTTTAGTTAAATAAATAAAAACTTGTTTCATGTTTTATAGGAATCCGAATTAACAAAATTATAACACGTCGTAGCAATGAAGAGAAAGAGAAATGTAATTATCCAAATGCATTCGTCTGGTACCGTATATCAAAGCTTTTGAGCGATATTGTATATCACTTGTAATTGTTGTTTGGTTGTGACTAAAGCGAACTTCGCGTATGATAAACTCTATAAGCTGAAAGTGATGTACTAATGTGTGACAATAAGTAAAATTGTAATGCATACGAGCAGTCACACGAGTTTACTGATATGGAAATCGTTTTTCAGTGTCTCGGATAAAAAATCAACGCATATATATCTGAGAGCCCAAAGGAGAACTTACTTAAGTACACACACGTCTATGAATTATAATAGTTTCCTTGAGCTAAATTCTATCTCTGTTAAAAAAAAATTATTATAAATTGATGAATCAGACCCTTAATGTTTCTGCAGCTGAACTGTTTGCAGCTAAAAAAACAGAGTGTTCCAGTGATAATATTCGAATAATTATTTTGGATAATTGTTCATTTCAAACCTGATTGTATCAAATGCAACTTTATCCTTCACTGAGTATTGGCCTGTGTATTTTGGAACGACTGTTCTAAGAAATCAGTACACATAAATGAGTCCGTTGTCAAATTCTTAACGAGACTGATTAAAGGGTGTAAATTTTCTATCTCCAAAAGGCATAGTCCAAATTTAATTTTAGCTGCATAAGTTAAGAAAGTACTTTAAATTTATTGAATACTTATACCGCTAATTGCTAAAACGGGTCAGTGCAATTTCAATTGCATTCTCATCATCGTCAGAACTATCGAACTGTCTTCCTTAAGTTAGTGGTTAACGCGAAAATTTATCTTCCGCATTTAACACTTCTTCCTTAAACACTTATAACGTAATATTTTTCATAACACGAGAAAAAAATGTGAATATTTTATTTATTATAGTACTTTTCAGTTCTACTGCGATACCTAAAACACATATACAATAATGAATTATGTTGAGATTCGGTTACACTTTTCTGACACCGGAAATGACAAACGAATCGTGTATAAAGCTTTCTGCCGTTTGTTACTATTTACAGGAAACAATATGTGCGTTAAATCCTTAGTGTCGGGTACTCTCACTTTTATTTTCGACTAATCATTACACGTAATATACTAAGACCAGACTCGTTTTTAATAAAAAAGAATGTTATTTATAAATAAATCAGATGTCTTTTGATTTATCTGAATTACTAAAGATTTGAACGCATATACGGAACTAAGTACCATAAGATATACGAATGAATATAAAACGAAGAGTGTATACATACTTGTGTTATGTTGCTATGTAGTATATGTTATGATGTATAGGTAATACACATATACAGAAATATCTATAATACATAAATCTATATATAAATATACATAAATATATATATATATATAGAAATATATTTTCTAAATGAAAGAATTTTATAAGTGACCATATTCTGCGCACGCATTTACATATGTGCAATCCGCGTGTGTTCACATATTGCGATTGTGTGTATGTACAAGTACCTTCGAAAGAAAGAGAATATTAGAAACAATATACACGCATGTAGAATATAACGAAATACATACGTACATGAAGAATGTCCAGATTTAATGTAGTCAAGAAATACTACTGTACGTATATGTATATTGTACTCCAATAATTTTTGCCATTGAGGTCGTAAGCCGACCAACTAGAACACTATCTGTTCAATTATGTCTTGATTTTTGGCGATGATGGAAGAATGTTTTTTTAAAGAAATGTTGTTTACATTGAAAAGGGAAACGCGATAACCGAATCGTTAATTTTCTAAATTGGTATTAACTGTATGTATTTATTTAGAAAGTGTTATAAACCGTTATTTCAAAAGGATGACTATTATTTTAGTTTGTTTACAAAATATATAGAAAATTAAAAGTATACTGTACATTAATGTACTATATTATCTTAATACATCGATATTTATGCACATTTAAAGATTCATAAAACAGAGAAAAACAATTTAAAAATTATGGACAACTACAGTTTTAGAGTTTAAAAACGAATAAAATATTACCCACATAAATGTTGTCTATATTGTGCTCTTCGCGTGTAAAAAAATTTGGAAATATTAATTACTTACTAATGTTCAGTTAGTTGTAATTTATTTTGAAGAAAAATTTGTATTATTTACACAAAGATACGCAAAAATAATTTTGTAACAATAAAAAATCGGTTTCCCTTTTCACGTTGAAGAACTTTTGCAGAAACAATTTTATAATGTCTATGCTCCTTGAGAAAATAACCGAGGTACACATTTACGTGAAGTATACCTATTATGCAAAAATATAGACACATACGTGCGTAAAGAGACGTTTATAAAAACATACGTATGCATGCAACTGAACAATCTACTAAACAATGAGTCAAATGCTGGAACTTCCATGTATAATAAATGGACATAAATTATTGTGGCGTTAGAAGTGTTAAGAACAATGCTCACTTAAACTACATGTCGTTATTATTATTATTTTTTATTTTTTTCTTATTAAAAATTAAGGACAACGTTCGCATAATTTTCAGCCTCACTCTAATTATTTTAATATAAAGATATGAGAAGATTCATGCCATATTTCTCACGATTTTTAAATGTCTCTTACCCTTTCCGAAAATGTAAAGATCGAATCTAATGGCTACACACATTTACTACTGATTACATTTCATACTCAAATATAACATATTTAATATTTCATATTTCGACAGAAACGTATTCCTATATCATATATTAGTTATTTTTATCGTATTATATTGCTGTTATTATTTTCAATTATTATTATTACTATCATCGTCATTATTATTACTACTACTACTACTACTACTACTACTACTACTACTACTACTACTACTACTACTACTACTACTATTATTATTATTATTATTATTATTATTATTATTATTATTATTATTATTATTATTATTATCCTCATCATCATTATTATTATTACTATTATTATTATTATTATCATTATTATTAATATTTTATTACTATAGTTTAATGGCACGTTAATATAATTCTTGTTATTTTGGGTTGATAAACGTACTACGTGAAGTTTCTTTTACGAAGAGAAGTTCATAATATTAGTATTTACCTTTAATTTTACATGAAACTGCAGAAAAGTTTTTTTATATTAGAATATGCATAGAACGTTTAAAAGTACCTCATTCAAAAGTACATAGTAGTTACATATCTAAATCGATATAACACGATCTTTACCACTTGAAATTCAATTTTGGTTGTAGCCTTTTCAACTGGAAAATAGAATCATAGGAAAGTAGAGTTTGGTAGGCTAAATATAGCCAAGATGCGCATGATTTCACTATAATCTTCTGCATTATTTTGTAAAATTTTATATTCTTTGACCTTTTTTCTATATTCGTTTGGGTAGTTCGAATAGCCAAATGCAATAGAAACCAATTAACCAGACTCGTATCCTTGTCAACGAGTACAACATGTGTGCTCTCTTTGGAAACCTAGTGTCGTTGATGTCTACCTACACAGCCGTCGTAAGGACTATTTTTAATATCAGATTGCTATTAGCCAATTCAAGGAATCACAAATTAGACAACTCTGACATTGTGACATGATTTCATGAATCTCCTCCATGAGAATGTAATTGTAGTTCACATTCTTAACACTAGAACTACATAGTGATTAATACAATCAATATGTGATCCTTATAAAAATTGTAACAATAGAAGATGTCAATAATTGCGAAACAGAAAAACTGGAACCCGTAATTCTGACAGTTACAGTAGTTCTAGTGTTAACTGCATGTATGTAGCTTGATGTCTTAGATTTTCCGTATATCATAATCTGTGCTTGTCATTTTGTCTTCGATTTCGTTAATGGTGTTGCTGGTCCACATTGTATCTGATTGTATAAGTACTTGTTCCTACAAATACGCCTTGCATTCAACTATTTACACCCTTGGCAATATGTATTCTTACTGCAGCTACCGTAGATTGTAACAACCCAGTCGTTTCTCTAGTTACTCTCTAGTTATTTGGTACCAACAAAATTTCTAGGACCTTAATATAATAATAATCAATTGTTGATACTTTATAACACTGTTACTAGTTATTAACAATTTGTTCTTTTTGACTTGTCAGTTGTACATTTGTTATACAATCTCAATCAGCATCAACTAAACTCTTTTGTTGTATTGCCTCGCTACATGAGGGAGCTATATGAGTTGTTACAGTTCTCTTTTAGGTATTATTACATGTGGTCAGAGATAACACTAAAGACCAAAACTTTTCGTTACCATTACTCCGCAAGCCTTTCTCACCCGAATAATTCTTCACATTTATTTGAGCTTATTCGCCTGACCAATTCTTTTTCCTCAGACATAAAGATTATGTACACTTCGACAAAAATTTATCCTCAGCAGAAATCTTTATAGACATATTATCCTTCCTAACAGATGTACTCAACTTTTTTTATAGCGCAAACTACGAGATATCTCGTAGTTGGCAGCGAATGATTAAAGAGATGTCAGTTGGATGATCTTTACAGCTGTAACTAATTTGAGTGCCTCTTCGATGTTGCCTTCAATATCGCTGTACACTTCATGTGCGAAATACCCAAATTAAAAAGCGACAAAACCTTGGTAGCTATGAGTACATCTTCGCTTAACTTCCCACTCATGTTACATTAATTGCATAAATGTAACGACCAACGTTCGACCTGCCAGTTTGATTCTTCTACTGAACAGCAATGTGTTGGTCCATTCGACGGCATTCTAAATTTTATCTGATAACGGAGCAGTGAATATTTATGCGCTTATGTCAAACACATAAGTTAAGAAACACATTAAAACAGAAAAGACAACTATTTTTACTTCATTATTAGTAGGTATATTGAAATCGTCAACAGAGTAAATAATTTTCTGTTTAATTTCAGCTTTTTATAGACTATATCAAGAAAATTTTATTTTGCATAAAGATTCACAGTTTATTAATAACCTAGTCCACATGTGTCTTTGTATAGGATGATTCGTGAAATGTGCGTTTCACTTCAGAATTAATTCAGCACTTGAAAACAATAATAAAAATGTATATAGACATATGTGCTATTGAACTGAATTATAAAATATAGCAAGTTTTGTGTTCTATTATGTGACATTTAATTACCTTCGCAAGAGTTGCTCAAAATGGCTTCCTTGCATTTGAAAGTATACGTGTAAAAAATTCTTTATTGAAAATCTTGTTCAATATTAAAACACAGTATTTGAATCTTAAGCCTTCCATACAGAAGGAATTGCTACAACGCAAATCTCATTGTAATTTGTAAGAAAGATGAAGTAGAGCAAATGTCTATATGGATGTTTTTCACAGCTTTTAAGTATTTAATCGATTTCTGAAAAAGGTACTACATAATAGAAGTCATCCTACGTATCTTAATTTCAAAGTTGAGTTTCGTTAAAAATTTTATTTCTGCAACATAGCCACTCATAGACAGGCTTATTACGAACCAAAACAACTAAACGGTGCAAAAGACTTTTATGTGATTCTCCAGTGACTGAAAATTAAAATTTACTTTCGTTGCATATTTTAATCGCATATTGTTTCTTCCATTTGCAAAATTTCATAATGTAATGGAAAATTCATTTTTCTAAAATATTGATTTTCGAATTCCAACAGTTATTAGGATGTCTAAATTTGAATCAATAAACGAATGTTGGTGCCAGAAGTTCCCTCAATGACAGGTACCTTTCCTAATATATTTGATCTAAATACTTGATAATTTTATTTTTCATTTTTATTTATTTCAACGTTGAGTTAAGGCATATTTATTTGTTGAGCTTTTATTTCCAATATATAGAATGTTTTAGAAACAAATTTTCTGAAATATATGCAAAATCTCTTACGAAAAAAAGTAATCTATGTATATATAACCTCCTTTGTAGAACTTAATAATTATCAGGTCAGGCCATAAGTTCGTTCGTATTCAATGATTCCTTTTATTTCATTCCTTTATATCACAACTGGAGTCGTTTCATATAAATAAAATAATAAAATTGCCCCTAAGGTAACAAGAAGCTTTAGATAATGAAAGTAAATATATCATTGATTAAAGTATATTTAAAATATATTTTATTTACGTTGTTTCAACATTTCTCGAGAATACGAAAGGACTTATGGATAGACTTAATACATTGATCAATGAATTCGTAAAAAAGCGCTGGTTGTTTGACTGATATATTTTCCCAATGTAAATCCTCTACCAAGGAACATCAATCAATTAATACGTACAGATTTCAATCAAACCTCTTGCAGAAGAACGGAATGATTAACTATTTGACATACATTTTTTTATAACTATCCACTCAAAATGAAATACTATGTACTTACGTAAATATTTCAATTTGCATTTATAAACGTATGGTCGAAAAGCAGTAGGATTTGACTACAATTTTTGTAGAAATTCTTCGTTCTTGTATTTTATAAAAGAATGCAATTACTTAAATTTCGTAACTTAACTACTATACTTCGGTAATTAACTATTTGAAATATACATATATATATATATATACACTACATGTGTAATTATTTATTTTTATATAAAACGAAGATAAAATAATACAATATATTAAACTGCAAATGTGTGTTACATTTCGGCATTGCAATAACGCTTCCCTCTTATTGTCAATATTAGTTGATTAATCTTTTTGTATCTATTACAAGATACAATGTATACATACATATGTATTTATGTTTTTATTATTAGAAAT